CGCTTCAGACATATTTGCCTTTGAAGGTGAACATTACCTGTTGCTAGTTGATTATTACTCTAAGTTTATTGAGGTGACCAAACTGAAGGATCTCACATCTCAGGAGACCATTGAAGTCCTAAAAGAACATTTCAGTCGACATGGCATCCCACCAAAACTAGTCACTGAGTGCAACAGCCAGTACACAAGCAAAGAATTTGAGACCTTTGCCAAAAGTTACAGCTTTGAACATGCTCTAGTAAGCCCAAAACACCCCAAGGCGAATGGAGAGGCGGAAGCCGCAGCTAAAACAGTGAAGTCTCTATGGAGAAAGAACAGAGACAAGAGAAAAGCACTCCTAGAGTACAAGGCGTCCCCACTTCCAGGAATTGACCTGTCCCCATCACAGCTCTCTATGGGACGCAGGCTACGAACAATACTACCAATGGCACGTGGTCTATTGGAGCCTGAAACACACAGCATCCAGAAGATAAAGGCAAGAATGAATCATGGCAAGGATAAGCAAAAGTACTACCATGACCGCCAGGGCACCAAAGAGCTACCACCACTCAGATCGGGTGATCACGTCAGAGTAAAACCGGAGCCAGAGTCGAAGGAATGGAGAGCGGCAACAGTAGTGGAGAAACATGTCTTGCCTAGATCATATGTAGTAGAGGTAGGCAGCCAAAGAATCAGACGTAATCGAGTGGCTCTAACGAACGACCCAACAAAGTCTCATATGGGATATCGGAAACGTCATGGAAACATCAATCAACAGACAGAACCTGAGCCAGACAAAACACATGCGGCACCCACATTTCCAGCAAGCCCACAAACGGAGTGCTCACCACAGGAATACCACTTAAATCCCTCAGCTGATGAGGAAATCCCAGCCGGTGATGTGCCACCTTCATCAGTGGAAGCTAAAGATCCGACCCAGTACACAACTCGAAGTGGAAGACTAGTCAAAACACCAATCAGACTAGACCTGTAACAACTTGTTCTGGAACAAAGGACAGTTCTTGGAACGTGAACAGTGACAGACACTGATTGATTAACGTTGAGTTGATTGTTCTTTTATTTTATTTTATTTTATTCTCCTCATTTGTTTCTTTGATTGTAATGTAAAGGAGGGGGATGTTATATATGAGAATACCGCTGACCATTATGCATAGTTGTGCATGTTTTGAGTTATTGTTTAAGCAATGGCATTAAACAACGTGGTTCGAATGTAGACCCAAAATGGCGTCTGTGTCATGAATATGTAACATTACCGTTGTCAAGGCAACATATTAAATGACGCAGCTGTTAATTTTCCAGCATCCACAAGAGAGCACATGCATTATGTTGGTTTGAGCCGTGTACAAAACAACTCTGCACTGCATATTCTGTGTTTGAATGAAAACAAAATAAAGGTTAGTGAGAAAGTTAAAAGTGAAATGAGCAGACTAAGAACACAAGTAAGCCTTGTACCTTAAGCAGTGTTACGACTGACAATTCACCCCAAACAAAAACAATCTTGTTTCAGAATGTTAGATCTCCACCTCCTCATAGATGATTTGTGAAGTGATGACAACATTCAAGAAGCTGATGTCAAAATATATGTTGAATCAAAACTTTGCCTGTTAGATAGAGATCATGCATTCCAGCTTAGTGAATTAACTCTATGCAGGAATGACTGTAATCAGTCTAACATAAGATCTTGCTATGGAACTACCTTGTACATTAAGAATAAATTGAATTGTACTAAAATTCCATACAGATATAACTGTTATGGTGTTAAGCCAACCAATTCCAAATATTCATATCATTGGTATCTATCACTCGAAAACTAAAGTTACAATTGATGCTCTTACTCATCTTCACGACTCAGTATTAATAGAATCTACAATTCCAGCTGCACTGCTTGGGGATTTCAATATTGATTTAATGCGGGCAAATTCAGAACAAAAGGCTCTTAAAAAAATATCTTATAACAGACAATGGATACACTCAACTGATTAACCAGTTTACTACTGACTACCATGCACAGATAGATCATGTTTATACCAACGTACCACAATCAGCAGGTACCCTGGAGTCTTACTACAGTGATCATAGGCCTTAATTTATATTTCTATGAAAGCTGTTTGAATATTTCCCTGTATGTACATGTTTCATATGAGATCATTTATTAAAATAAATATATAATTTAGCTGACTATGGAAACTTTACATAACAAATAAATACAAGTCATGTATCTAAATGTATCAAACAACTATTTAACTCACACAGCAAAACAGTCAGAAAATTTATTGGCAGAAACAAAGAATGGTTTGAATTTACTGTCCCTAAATTGCTAGTCTTCATAGAGATCCAAAATTACATTTAACTCTACCAAAATTTGCAGATGCTGTACATAACAATGCATTTTTTTCAGGTTAAAAGAATTATTTTAGCTGCAATGTTTCTTGAGGGAGAGCTTAACATTATGTAACTGGCATTTTCTTTCTTAACCCTTTCTAGAAAAGCAAGAAATATCACTTGGACACGTTAGTTAGGTAAGTAGCTTATTTTTATCGGGGGAGGGGGAGGGGGGTGGGGAGAAAGGGAAGCAAATTAAAGATATACAATATTGTTTCTGCATATAATCATTTACACCCTTTAAAAATGTGTCACTATTATATTTATTGTGTATTGCAGGTGAAGCAAGTTCTACTATTGTGCATCTTCATATAACCCAGATGAACACTGCAATAACAACTACAGTATAATATGCAAGTGACAGTAAGCAGATGTTAATATTAACAACATTTCTGATGCTATACATGTTTATCAGCTGCCAAAAATAATATCAAAAGACTTAGTAGAAACTGACTTTAACAACACGTCACCCTTAAAACTTCATGGAATTAATCTGAGAATTACAGATGGATGCAGAATTCTCCTGCTTACAAAGAGAACGAGATGCTTTTAAGACTTCAGTCAGCTGACACTTGAACTGTTGAAACTCATTCTTTGCAAAAAACATTGGCTACAAGCATATAAAATGGCTCACCAAACTGCATGTATAATTACGGAGTTGGAAACACTTTAGAACTTTATCCATGAATGTTTCTTAAAGTCAAGAATGTCAACAAGAGAAATCCATCTGAACTCGCTATGTGTGTCAAACCTTACATGTAACTCAAGAAATGAACCTATAGCTTTACAGTGGAATACAGAAATTATATAACAGAAACTTAAAATTTGCAGTTCTATATCATGTTCATATACATGTAGAGTATCACAATCAGTCTTTATAATTATTAAGACTACAGTTAAATGAAACCACTAGACTCCATCATAAAGGAATGCAAAAATTGAATGTGTCAATCTGTCCATATTAAGAAAATACCAATCTTGCAAAAATATGTTTATCTGAAGTATAAGTTATCCTAACTGTTCCAGTTTATCCCTGTTGAATTTCCATTCAGTTCTTAAAATGATGGTTATCATGCTGTACTTCTACTACATGTGTGCCCTGCTGTTGTAAAGATTGTTATTTATAACTCAGCAAAAATTGTATAATCTGAATGTATAGGAGACGGCTGGCTAGAATGTCTCCTCTTAGCTTAATAATAAGAAAATTCTCCTAATAAAAAGCAGTGTTCATCTTGCTTTTTGTTGTTGCACTCTGTTGAAATCTACTTTCAATTATGTAATAACTAATTATTTATGATTTATAAGATAATTTCAAGAGAGATCAAATTCAGCCACCTACAGTGTAAAGGGTGTGAGGCGTGGTGGCCTCATGGTTAGTGCGCTCGGCTCTGGATCAAGCAGTCCAGGTGCGAGCCCTGGCCATGGACATTGCGTTGTGTTCTTGGGCAAGATACTTTATTCTCACAGTGCCTCTCTCTACCCCTGTGTAAAATGGTACTGGCGAACTTAATGCTGGGGGTAGCCCTGCAATGGAATAGCATCCCATCCAGTGGGCAGTAGAAATACTCGTAGTCGCTTCATGCTACGGAAACCGGGATAAGCTCCGGCCTGGTAGGCCACTTGGCCTGTATTCAGACTTGACCTTTACCTAAAGGGTGCAAATAAGCAACCACTGGACATCAGAACCCATTCATCAAAGGATGTTTATTTTCCTGTTTTTCACTGCTGTACCAAGAAGAACTCCACAATGATCAATTCCTCTTCTCTTTTTATTCAACCAACTTTTCTACATTCATCTGATTCATCCATGAGCCTTTGATTAACATATTTTGCAAGAAGTCAATTTTTTTTGCTCATTACTTGTAAGTTTGGTACCTGAATCAAAAAGTTGGAATTTCTTTGATTCTTTAAACTTAAATAATTTTGAAGTAAGTTCGGCTCATGAATAAGTCAGTTATGTTTAAAATGAAAAATTTTGTAAGCTTTATTTCTAAGTTTACTTGAGCTTTATTTTGTGACATATGCTTTAGTCTCTTAAGATGCGGTTACACAAAAATTCCCGCCACAATGTGTCACCTTTAACTAATGCCTTTCGAATAAAGACTTCAAATTTCTTTCAACTGTCTCTTAAAGGTCATTTAAAAAATTGTTTCGTGGCAGCCCTAGTCAGTGAGCTAACTTAAAATGTAATAATAACTAGAACGATGAGATGTAAGAATTACATGTACGGTCACTTCACTCCATGGTGAGATCGCTGCAAGTTTTGACTTTTGTTTCGATTTATTTCTGATATGCTCTTAACACCTACAAGTAAATTAAACATTTGCATCTCAACAAGTTAAAGCTTAAAAGCGCAGTTAAAAACCTTGAGTCTCCGCTGTAGTAGAAGTCCCTCCAAACAGTTCCCATCCATCCCCGCGAAAATCTTTACAATACTGTCCATCGAAACCAAGCGCCTTTAGTCGACAGAAAACTTCATCAATATGCCATATCCAGACTGTTTTTCATTTAAACGTGACAAATACCACACGAAAAAGTCAGAAGCTAAGACCAAAATCACGTTACAAATCAAGGTGTTTTCGATCGGGGGCTTTGACGCACACTTTCTGGGACCCGAGCAAATCACCCGAAAAGAGCCCTGAAAAGCTTTCGGGCCCAAGATCTAGACATTTTTGGGTCTTTTGAGAAACGCACGCCTGGTCAGTATCCCGGAGGGGTACCTCCAGAAAAATTGGGTGAGGGTGTGCGGCCCGCTTCCCAAAACCCTTACCCTATTCATGACCAAAATCTGCGATATTCCCTACGCTATTTATGACCTGACCAAAAATTCGAAACCCTATTTATGACCCCGACCCTTAAATCAAAACCTGTTTCAGACCTGCGTTATGATTGGTTCCCTAGTTCAGACCAATGTGAAGTTACCATAAACATAATTTGTGAAGGGCTTTTGTTGTTTTTCATTTCGATAATGATGAAAAAGTGGCTTCTAAAAAACTTACCCATATGAAGGCTAGAGTGCAAAAACCATATCCTATTTATGACCAAAATCAGCTAAAATCTATACTCTATTTATGACCAAAACGGCTGAAAAATCGTATCCTTTGGGACCACACATACATATATAGCCCATATAAGGGAGTACCCCCCCCCCCGGGGTCAGTGTATCGCTTCATCCTTCCACTCCCGTGTATCACCAGCGTGGCTTAGAAGTTATGCTTTTAGTTAGGATAAAAATGTATTACCATGAAAAAAAAAAAAAAATGAAGGACACTAAGATTTTAAGGTTAAAATAAACCCCTATTACTAGTAGTAATCAAAGATTAGAACAGTGCGTTCACGCCCGTACTTTGCATGTTTGGTCTACTTTGGTGGCGTTCAAAACTAAGTTTGATCGAATGTCAGATAGCGATCTGCACGTGAAGTTGAACTAGCAATGAATAGATTATGGCCTGCGGTAAAAGTGTTTTTAATTAATTAAGTATTAACTTGTACTGGACAAAATATTTTCCAGGAAAGGCATTTGAACTGTTGGCGACACTTAGAATTCAATTTCAGATCGCCAACGCTTGTAACAAATATTTCTTGAGAGAATTAGAAGCATAACTGCGTGTACTCCCGGGTGTACTCTGGCTTCTCTTATCGAAATAAACATGGTTTACATAAACAAATGTATATAAACATTGGCCTCCATTTGGCACGGCGGACGTTATCTGCTCCGAGAACGTAGCTGGAGGAAAACTGTGAGCTTTGAGGAACGGATAATGTTCAAGGACAAATATCCGAGCATATTTTCGCGCCAAGTGGAGGCTATCGTGTTTATTGTCCTCCAAATATTTTTCGCAACACGCGCAGTTTTGAAAATTGGGGAATATCACTCGGATAGTTCCCCGTTTTAGCTGGGGAGATATTCAGTAACGTGACATGTTAAAACCAATCGCACACGAGCAAAAAGATTTGATGGATTATAAACAATAGATGGATTATAACAATAGCCTCCATTTGGCGCGGAAATATGCTGGGATTATTTTTTCCGCGGACATTATCTGTTCCGAGAAGCTGACAGTTTTCCGAGAGCGTAGCTCGAAGAAAACTGTGAGCTTCGAGGATAGAAGCATTCGTGATAGAACGCTAGTAGAATTATACTAGAACTCGATAGAAACACGGTACATGTTTTCTAGTTCTTAATTAGAATCACAATAGCTGTAAATTGATTAGATTCCCAAGAAAGCCAAGTGTTCAACAGCACAAGAGAACGTTTGAAACTCTGAAGAACAGCTTTAATTTGATTTAATGGGAAGCGATCCTAACCGTCGAGTACATCTCACAGCTGACAACGGACGCATAAATTATGACATTCTTATAAATTCACTACACGTTCTGATACTTGCTATTGTAAGAGTTCTTAAGTTGCAACAGTTCACAGCTTAGGCACTTAGGCTAAAACATGGTGCTCAAGATGTCTCGGGCTCTGCGGACGTACTGTGTAGCTGGTGGAGGTACTTCCGTCGTCACTTCAACCGCAGATTGAGACGGCACCTCATATGTTTCAGTCACAGGCTCTTACGGCTGTGGCTGGTTACACTGCTCATGTTGAGTGTCATAGGTGGTAGCGGGAGGTTCGTTGGTCTTCCTAAGATGAACTTGTGGAAGCTCCACTTCGTAGGATCTTTCACTCAAACGATTCTTAACAGCTCCTTTTTGCCATTCCTTCTGTCCAACCTGCCAAGGCTCAAATCTTACAGCATCGCCTTTCTCCAAACGGTCCAAGTTACGGGCGCCTCTGTTGTAATAACGAGCTTGCTGTTGCTGGCGCAGGCAGAGCTTGGTGTAGGTTGTATCTTCCTCAGCTACAGACGGTTTATAAAGTAAACAAGCAGACGTGGGTAGAAGATCATACTTCTGGTTCTTCCGATTAAGAAGGCGCTGAGCTGGGCTGATTTGAGTTCCCGAAGGCGGTGTATTCCTGTGGCAGAGCAAGAAACGCATCTGAACCAGCCTTCTTGTATCTCAAGAGAATCTTCTTGGCCTCTTGGACAGCACTTTCTGCTTTGCCATTGGACTGACTATGACAGGGACAGCTAGTACGGTGATCAAAGTCCCACTCATTTGAGAATTTCAGGAAATCGTTAGAAGAAAACTGCATCCGTTATCGGTCAAGCTGTTCTCGTGTGCCTTGCGAAATGCGCTTTGAGCTTCCTGATTACGTACACCGACGTTGTAGGTAGTCAAGTTCAAACAAGTCACTGAAATAATCAGACGTCACCACTTTCCCTCTAACTGGAAATGGTCAGCTAAAACGTACTGCTGGACCGACTAGGCGTTTGGTGACTCTTGAGTGTTTCCTTGGTCTAGTCTCGCTCGTATTCTCTACAGGCTTCACATGTAGATATGTTGTTCTTAATGTCCCAGTCATGCAAAGCCGATAAAGACGCTCACGTGCTCTGTTAAGCCAACCGTTAACTCCCAGGTGAGAGTTTTACTGAGCAGATCACCTCTAGCAGCTTTTAGGGCTACCACTCTCTCTCCTTTGTAAATAAGCCCATCTTAAACGAACATTTCGTCTCTCATGTCGAAATACCGGCGGAGAGACAACAGGAAGCAGGGCGCTCTTTTCATCAGACCACCCCTGCTGAATAACGGCCTCTACGATTTGAAGGGACTCGTCCTTCTCTGTCTCACGATGAATTTGCAAAAGCCTTGCTTGAGAAAGATCGCTACATTGATAGTTTCAAATTCCAACTCAACTTATATACGCGAGGGAAGATACGCTCTAAAGGCTTGTGGTCAGTGTGGGCAATGGGCGTTCGAGCGAACGTCTAATCATTGAACTTCTCCACTGAGAAAACAATTGCTAACATCCCCTTCTCAATTTGCACTTAACGGGACTAAGTTATTGTCAAGGCTCTACTGGAGTACGCAATGGGGTGCCCATTTTGTATAAGAGCTGCTTCAAGACCACCTGAATGCTATCACACTGGATTTTAAGAACTTCAGTGGACTTCGTATCATCATACCAAGCTTTTTCTTGCAGGTCGTCCCAGCATCATACCGCATCGTTGTGGGTAAGATCTCGGAGAGGCCTCACGACATCAGACAGATGAGGGAGAAAACGATCGGCTTAGGTAGTTAACCATTCCATTAAGCCGATAGTATGTCGTTTCGTCCCTCTGGACGTGGCATCTCTATGATCTTCCCACTTTCTCGAGATCTAGCTTTAGACCCTCTGTGGTAAGCAGGTGTCCATGGAATGGAACTTCCTTAACATTTAACTCTAGCTTCTGACTGTTAAGCTTGATGCCTTTCTGCTGACATGCGCTCATAAACCCCTCTAGATTGCTGTCATGATCACTCTCATTTGTTCCATTGATCAGAACATCGTCTGCAATACACTTTACACCGGTAAGACCATGTAATTCTTGATG